ATTCAAATGACACTTGAATTTTTTTACTTACTTATTTTTTCTTAAATTATGCATAATTTTTATTCTATCCATCTGTCTCTATCCTTCTATCTCCATTACTTTCTCACTATCTCTCCCTATTTTCTCTCCGTCTCTCTCTCCCCATTACTCTCCATATCTCTCCCTTATTTTCTCTTTTTATCTTCAATTGATAATTTTTTTTTTTTTCAAATATGTAAAAATTTAATTTGATTTTTTCATCTATCTCCCCTATTTTCTCTCTCTCACTCTCTCCCCTTATTTTCTCTCACAATTACTCTCTCTTATTTATCTGTCTCTCTCTCCCTCTCTTTATATCAATATTACAACAACACAATTACACTACTTAGTTACACCAATCGATTACAATTATCATATAATATATCAAACAGTTACTCATCTGTTCTAATAAATCAAGCAGTTACACCAAACAATTACACAATTATTACATCAACTTAATTTTTTATGATAAATTCAATTTGATGTATATAATTGATATAACTAAGTAATGATACTAAATGATGTAACTCTTTGATTTACATAAACAACTGAATGACTAATTAGGTTGATGTTGTAATTTCACGTAATTATTTAGTGTAACTGTTTATTTTATTAGAACACATAAGTAACTGCTTGATGTATTTATATGGTAACTGTAACTAATTGGTATAACTGATTGATATAATTGTGTTGTTGTAACGTTAATATATGAGAAGATAGAGAGAATAAGGAGAGAAAGAGTAACGGTGAGAGAAGAAAATAGAGGGAGAGAGAGTGAAAAAGAGAAAAAAAAAGGGAAGAGAGAGATAAAAAAAATTAAATCAAATATTTACATATTTGAAAACAAAAATTAGAAAGAGATAGAGAAAGTGTGAGTAATATAGTATTAAGTAGCCTTTCAGTCTTTTTTTTAAAAAAAATGCATTTTGGGCCAGATAATTTTTTTAATGTAATTTAGCTCAATTAAATCCAAAATTTTGTACCGGCTTTTAAATTCCCCTTACTTCATCTGCACTAGCTTAATTGAGCAAACAAACTAAAACAGATAATCACCTGACCACTTTGGACAAAATATCCATAAATTGATCATACAACTTTAGATTAGTTGCCAAAAAAGGATATAATTTACATGTATTAAGTCTAGCAAAAAAACACATGAACCAACAGAAAGACAAAGTTCTTTCAAAAATTCATTCAAATTAGATCAAGAGAAATTAACCAGTAGGCGGAGGGGGCAATACAAGCTAGTAGGCCAAGGTACACTCAATCTAAGATTCTGTTTGTTAGCGTTGCAATACAATTGATGATGTACAAATCGGTATTGAACAAGATCAACAATCAAGAACATAAATAGAGGCAATCAATAAGTAATAAACAGACAATAAATGGTAAAGCAATAGATAAAGAGCCAACACAGAGATTTATAATAGTTCGGTCTGGGTGACCTACTCCACTCTCGTAAACGGTAGCAGTGGCCTGAGTCTTTTATTAATGGGTGAAATCGCCGGAGAGAGTATTCTCCAGGAGTATTACAGTGCTTACAGGGAGAGAGAGAGAGAGAGTGATGAGTGTGTATAAGAGGAGGTGTAGAGGCTTCAGAGGCATGCCCTCTAGGGCTGTCAAAATTTGACACGATATGATTAATTGACACGAATTAAGCAGAGTTGAGTGAGATCTTAACGGGTTTGTGTGATAAACGGGTTGACACGCCAAACACATTTAATAAACGGGTCGTGTTCGAGTGAGACCTGTCAAACCGTTTATCACACGTTTACTCGTTTAAATAAAATTAATATAATAATAAATTAATAATTATTTAAAAAAATTAGCAAGAAAAAAAGAAGTAAAGAAATCAATAAAAAAAAGAAGTAAAGTAATAGTTCAAAAACAAAAGAGAGGAGATAAGGAACACTTCAAAGACAAAGGCAAATCTTATTTGTCCCACATTGGAAAATGAGGGGAGATGGGGAGGGTTGAGTTGCCTATAAAAAGTAATGACCTCTTACTTTTGTTTTTTAAGCCTTTAAGTCTTATTTGTCTCACATTGAAAAATGAGAGGAGATGGGGAGGGTTGAGTTGCCTATAAAAAGTAATATCCTTTTACCTTTTTTTTTTAAGTTTTCAAGTCTTATTTGTCCCACATTGAAAAATGAGGGGGGATATGGAGGGTTAAGTTGCCTATAAAAAGTAATAGTCTCTTACTTTTTTTTTTAGACCTTCAAGTCTTATTTTTATGAGATTTGATTAAAAATCTTTTTTTTTGAGGTAAGTGCAATTGACAATAAAAAAAATAGAGTATTAAAATTTGTTAATATAATTTTTTTAAAATTAAACGGGTTAAATGAGTTGTCGTGTTACCTGTTTATTAAACAGGTTGTGTTCATGTTGAGATTTTTTACCCGTTTATTAAACATGTCGTGTACGAGTTTATATATTTTCACCCGTTTAACCCAACACGTTTGACACCCCTAATGCCCTCAATACTGAGAGGGCGTTCATTATATAGTTAGGGTAATACGGTGACGTGAGCGAGAGGTCTTCCACTATTTTGGTAAGAACAATCTTAGTAGAATTAGATCTCCGTATCCGATATTCTTTCTCTCGTGTTCCTATTCCATCAGAGGATGATCCTGAGTCGGACTGAGCTTGACCCTGAGTTTGGACTGGCATTGAAGTGGGCTGGACTTGAGTTGGAGTGGGTAGAAGAAAGGAGTGAAGGCGACGCCTAGCCCTAGGCGGCGCCTTGGGGACGACTTGGGCGACGCCCTTTAATTCTTTGAGTGGCGCCTTCTTGGGTGCTTCCTTTCCATTTGATTCCCTCTTGATTTGTGGACAAGTCTAACTTCCTTTTTCACTATTCAACTCTATTTTCACTATTTAACACTCATTTTTACTATTCAACACCCATAACACCATCCTCGCTATTCAACATCTATTTTCACTATTCAACTCCCTTTAGGCTCCGGTGATTTGGACTCTTTTTTATGGGTGAACCCAACTTTGATTGGACTTTCTTGGTTTATTTAAATTGGGCCTAGCCCAGTTAAATTCGGGCTCATCATTTACCTCTCATGCCCTAAACCTCTGACTTTTTTGAGAGAGTAAGAGATTGTGGGCATGTGATTTGTCTTCATTTGGGTGAGTCGAAATTTTTTTTGTTTCCTACAGTATCTTTTCATCCTTAGGGACTTGCTGAAATTTTTATTTTTTATTTTTATTTTTATTTTTTTGCATTGTTTCTTTGTCTATAAATAGAGGTTACTGTTCATCTCATCTTCCTCTTTTCTTATGGTACATCACACTGTTCAACCCCCGTTTCCACTATTCATCATCGTGGAGTTTACTGTTCAACTTCATTTCCACTGTTCATCACCGTGGAGTTCACTGTTCAACTCCGTAAAGTTCACTGTTCAACTCTATATCTGTTGTTCATCACCGTGGAGTTCACGGTTCAACACCCTTTCTGACTATTCAACACTATTTTTTACTATTCAACCCTTTTTTTATTATTCAACACAACTTTTCACTATTCAACCCCCTTTTTTTACTATTCTAACACTTTTTTTCTTTTTCAACACTCGTGGAAACTAGAGGCTCAAAAATTCGTGAAGTGAAGCAAAGGAAAGCTCATGACCTTGATCCCATAGGTGACGCCCATAAGGGTGACATGGTGGGCGGCACCCATGGTGGCGGCCATGCCTTTGGTGGCACTGGACATGATGCAGGCAGAGAAGTTCATGGCTTTAGCAAAGAACAAAGAGGAGGAGAGGCACTGGGGACCCCATGGTGGGCAACCATGCCCCGAGTAACGCCTCCTGGGGCGACGCTTTCATTCTTGTGTGCTTTCAGACCAAATCTATGTCAAAATAATTATGTATTTTTTCTTTTATTTATCTAGATTTATAAAAAAATGATAAAAAATTAGAATAATGTTAAAATTTAGAGGGTTTCTATATTCCCATGTAGTGTATATATATATATATTCATTTTTTTTGAATTATCTATTTGCGGAAAGATATGAAAGTTTTATTTATTTGATCAAATATCATAATTTAAATGACACAAAAAAAATGAGTTTTGAGACAATAAGAGAATTTTTTAAAAGATTTGAGTATATATTTGAATTTGTCAATTAGGGTACTCTATATCAAATCAAATTTTTTACTCAAATTTAAATTATGATCGGAGATACTCTAATCCCAACAAAAAATCCGGCCATCAAAAGCATTCGAAAGCCTTTCAAATCTGATCCAGTTTGATACAATCTTTTCATTTTTTTTTTTTGATACATCAATGCATATTTAAATAGATCACTCTATATATCTATAAAAAATATTATTTTTTCGGACCACACAATAATATGCAAGAAAATCAATCGTAATTATATTGAAGTTCGATCATAACGTTCCGCTACATGTTTTGAGCGTTAAAGACTAAATTTAATTCAATCAAACTGTCATTAAGTACAAAGATTCAAACCCAAATATTCAGCAAAAAAAAATTATAGTTGTTACCCCTTTGGAGTGGCAGCTGATCTTTTCATTGAATTCACAATAAAGATACCATTGACCGGAAAGGAAAACAAAACAGATGTCTTTGTTCCTCCATGAAAGGCAAGAATCTCCGGTGAGGTTTTATCCATTGTCCTTTTATTATAAACCTCATTGTACCAAACCACCCTGACCTTTGCACTAAATTACCCCCCTCTCTCGCACAACCCAACAACATATTTGGAGGACAAAACAGTCATTACAAGAAAAGTTCCTTTCAGGAATACCACAAAACCATGGCGCCTCACCTAAAACGTCACCGTTTTCCTTGCCACCCAGCCGGCGAACCGACACCTGATTTTGTTCCTCTGGAGATAAAGATTAAAATAAAACCCCAATTTTATTGCAATTGATTCTCTCTTCCTCTCTCTCTATAAGACCCTTTGGATCTGATCTAGAGAGAGAGAGAGAAAGAGTGATAGAGAGGGATCAATGGCTGATCAGGAGGAGGATGATTTGAAAATGGCGTTGAGGATGAGTATGCAGCACGACCCACCGGAGCCGAAGAGGAGCAAACCGAGGGATAACGTCACCGGAGCTCCGTCGGAGCAGTCACCACCGGAAGCGAATAACCGAATGTTGCAGCGGGAATTGATGGCGGCTGCGGCAGAGAAGCGGATGATGGCTTCGAAGAACGCTGCCGCTGTGGCGCCTTCGGCTTCGAAGGTTGATAAGTGTGTGAAGGAAGAGAATAGGGGTGGTTCTGGAGCTGAATTGAAGAAGAAAGATGTGAATTTGGGGAAAGAACTGTCGCCAGCGGAGGCTAATAAGTTGTTTTCGATGATTTTCAGTGGTAAAGTTACGAAGGATATACTTGCACAGTGGAGCAATCAAGGCATTAGGTATGATACAGTTTTGGTTTTTGGGTTTGATTTCATTATTGCTTTGAATCTCTTTGAGCCTTATTAGTTACTCGGTGGAATGGCAATTCTTGAAATTACCCAGAATTTGCTTTGGTACTTTTCTTTTGGAGTTTGGATTCTCTATCATATGTGGTAAACCATTAGCCCATTGTATTAACTGTGACATTTGGAAAATTATCCGATAACTCGACTAAGCGCTGGTGCTGTTGTATTTCTCTCTTCTTTGTTTTCCATTTCATCTGTCTTTTAATTCTTCTAAAGTGATAACTGCAACCTGGCAGTTTGACGTTCTAAAGTGATAACTTGATGTGTAAATAACTCGAATTTCTCTATCATAGTTGTGGTTTAAAGTTTCTTTTCGGAGATATGATTCGGTGAGTCAAAAAATAGAAATGTTTTGGAAACGCAAGGAAACATCTTATTTTTGTCGAAGCGTATGGAAACCTATGAATAAAATTGATTTTATGTCAATCAATGGTTTTTTTTATCAATACAATAGAGCAAAAAACAATAGAAAACATAAAATTTACAAGAAACTTTTGTGGTTATAGTAATTGAATGTTTATTTAAACTTGAAACAAGACAATTAAAAAGTGCAATATTTAACTGAGTGATGTTGAATCGTCATTCATACAAAAACCTGGAGCTTTCATTCATACTATAACAAAAAAAAAAGAAAATAATAATAATGCAAAAGCATGGATTATATATGAATCCAATTCATGGTTCAAAATTTCATTTCGAGAATTTGTTTCATTCATTCAAAAAATAGAGACTTTTTGAAAACACAAAGAAACATTATAAATTTGAAGAAACGAATAAAATCGTTTAAAATTATTAAAAAAACTTATCCCACTTCACTCTTAACCACTCACCTTTGAAAATAGATCAAAATTTCATGAAATATAGAAAAAAAAAAGTCGCATAACAAAAATGTATTGGAAACTCTCATGGTCCTTTGGATTAATAAAAAAATGATTTTAATGATATAAAATGAAATAGTTGACAAAGTGCAAAAAAAAGTCAAAAGAAATTAGTAAAGGATCACACATAGTAAATCTTAAATGAGAAAGCTCGACACAATCTAATTTATAAAATTAAAACTCTCACAATTCAAGACGACGCACAAAAGCCCTCTCACAACATTGAGACACTATAAGTTTTATATATGTATAAAAATAATTAATAATAATTTTGGGTAAAACAATAATATAAAAGATTTACCAATTACTTTGGGTAAAAGAAAAAGTTGTAAGATTTCAACAATAAAATAAAAAGATCCAATTCACAACACTATCTTGATCTGAGAGAAAATGCAACATGCCTAATCTGTCACCTAGAGAAAGTGTAATCCACAAATTGCATTCCGCTTCAACACACGGTGAGGACCAGTTGCCATACCCAAGACTCCAAAGGAATCTTGTGTCAGATGTTTTTTCATTGACAGTTTATTTATTAATGAGTCATAGATCTTTTGTTGTGAAAAGTACTACTTTTGAAAGTTTCGCTTAGTGTTTGGTCAAAATAAGGCGAAATGCTTTATTTCCTTCAAACCTTTTTCATTTCGAAAGTATATCAATGTTTTATTTCAAATGTTTATACTGGTTGAAATAAAGCAAAACGCTCAAAACCTTTTTCATTTCGAAAGTATATCAATGTTTTATTTCGAATGTTTATAATTTCGAAACGTTTCGTACGTTTCATACGAAACGAAACAAAAATTTAATCCATGAACACAGTGGCCATGTTGTCATACTAGCTGTTCTTTCTATTTATGTGCCTTTGTTTTGGATTGCGGATTGGTTGGAAATTTGGGGATGCGTTATGCATGATACACATTAGGAAGGGGTTGTAGACATCTAGCTAATAACTTTGGTGAAGCTACTGAAGTGACAAAGATTCTCAAACAAAACATATTGCGATGTAGTTGGAGACACTTGGCGAATAAGTTGGAGCATAAAATGTTATGCACCCCTCCTCCCACCCTCTGCCTTCCCATAGAGTGATAGAATAATAAACAATTTTGTACAAATTCTACATAAAATTATAAAATTGTGAAGATCTACTTGAAAGAAGAATAAGTTAACAAATGATAATGTTGTGATATGGAAATGCCATTAAAAATCTCTATCACCACGTAAAATGTAGTATCGAGCACTGTTATGTGCGTAAGATATGGTTTGAGTCTTGCTCGGCCTATCAGCCACTTTTATGATATACATACGCTAAAATCATTTAGGTATAATTTAATATTAGTGAATTTTGTTGAAACGTTCTTGAATAAAGCAAATGTAAAAAAAGTAGGTCAATGTTAGGCTAGGAAGTAAGGATATATATACGGGTACAATACGATAGGATACGGCGATACAACAAAACTTAAAAAAAAGGATATAAATACGATGAGGATACGTCTATAATAAAATATATTTTATATTTTATTATTATTTAAAGGTTTAAAAATTATAATTTTTAATAATTATTTAACAATATTAAACAAAATTAGCAATGTTAATCTTGATAAAGATGTAATATCGTCTTATTATACTATATCCATAAAGTGAATGTAACCAATTAAAGGAATCAGAACCAATATTTAATTAGTTGGTTTGTTTATAAAATTATAGTGTACTTAACTCATTTTTTTATACTCTTTTAACATGTAATAGTGGATAATACTTAAAAAATAACTCTGTCTTCAAAATCAAATATTTTATATGAACTCAAAAGATGAGGGCATAGATTAAAATTAAAAAATATATATTTTACTCCATGTGTAGAAGTTTCCGCGAATATTCAAGTATTTTATTAATTATCGGATACGTATAATGAAGAATCCGATATGTATCCTCGAGTATCTGACGAGTATCATATCCAATACAGTATTTGATATACGTACGTCAACCTTAACAAAATATCCGTGTTTCATAGATGCTTGGTAGTCCGGAGAAGGATAGATGCACGTAGTCATACCCCATAGAGACGTTGTTTTCACGACTCAAACCCGTCCAAGTCATTTGGACTTTTTGAATTGTGGTTTTGGGTTTTTGGGGTGGAAAGAGATGATTACCAAGGTCCGATCACAGTTGCAATGGTGTAGAAAAGAAGGAAGCGGAAAAGGAAGTACTAGAAGAACCTAGGAATCACACCTAAAATTCCATAGGAATAACTCTGTAAGGTAAGGTAGCATTAAACGTCAAATAAGGGCTTCAAAAGCTTCTCTCAAATTATCAACTATTTGGAATACATGGTTTTATATAGGTTGTTAACTCTTTCATACTATAAGGATTACAATTCCTTGATCAGGAAACTAATAAGACCCAAGATAACATATTTTGACCCATTCATTGGCCAAGGGACAATGGTGTTACAATGTCCAGCAATAACAAAAAATATCAAAACACCCTGAACTCAAAAATACTAAATAAAACATATATTGAGTACTTTCATTAGCTTGCTAATCCTAAATTAAGATCAACAAGATTTAAATTTAATCATGAAACGTAAATTGAGTATTTTCAGCAGCTTTTTAATGCTTTATCTTTAATGAGGCATTGTTGGAGAGCAATTGTTCTCTTCTGATAGTTTTTCATGTATTTGGTTGGATTTCTTATCCACCAGTTCTGTATGTTCTTGTTGTTTACTAAAATTTATATATATTCTTGTTATTTATTTAGTTAATCCTAATGATGCATGCTCCTCTATTCCATACTTGTTGTTCCTCTTGTGCCCCTGTTTTTTATAAATGATGTCCAAGAAATTCTGGCAAAGGCGGTGACTAACAGTCAATTTCTGTATTATAGAATGCTATTTGTAGAGCTACTGTATTGTTGTGTCTCAGTCCACCCTGGAATTGTTGTGCTCTTGGCCCCTTTCCTATTACCTATTATGATACGTATTAATTGGTAGGTGTGAAAACCATGATATATGCCCTGTGTTTGCATTTTTAAGGGGTTCGGATATTTGCTCTTCTATGTCCTATTTTCATATAACATTATATTTGCTAATACTGGTGAAAAACTTTTCTGTAGGTTTAGTCCTGATCCAGAAACATCTATGGGCTTAGTGCAGCATGAAGGTGGGCCGTGTGGGGTATTAGCAGCCATACAAGTAATGCCTTGATATCTCACTTTACCTCCACTAGGTGAACTTAATGTGCATACTCTTGTAGTGCTTGGATTAGTGACACTGGTGTCACTTGTCATATTGCTTATGTGCTAGCACTGCGTGACGTTTCTAATGTTCAAAACAGACTAACGTTTTACTATAATATGGTAAAATTATTATGTTTCCAATGATACTAGAAACAAATTGACATCTAGTTCTACAACCTCGACTTCACGATGTTACTTACTAGCGATTGTCAAGACACTTGGGGAGATAAGCTGTAACAATCCCTCCCTCCCACTGTGGAGTGGTATCTCCTAAACCCCAAAAATGGGAGGTGCTGGGTTCTGGTTCTCTATGGGCTCTTTTTGCTGTCATATTCAAAAAAAATGAACGGATTAGGGACCACAGACAAATTCTATATAGAAGCATAAAAAATAACTAAATGGATCCATTCGTATCTCGCATTTGACAAGGTACTAGACTAAGAGCAGGATAATGGCTTTCTTGCCCAATCTGCTTTTTGTTAGCTCATTTATACTTTTGTACTGATCTCAGGCTTTAGAATTCCCTTAACCATATAAAGCAATCTTGAGTGGTTCGAATCGTGGATATATGATACAAACTCTCTACACACGCTCTAGTGTGGGACTCAGGCTTGCATGTGGGCTCACAAATAAATAGTCAAATATGCATAACTCGAAATTCAACTAGCTAAGAGACTTGACCATCCGTGTTAGAGGCATGTGAACCGAAACCAATTGCAATGATTTGAGAGAAGAGACCCCTCAACCATATAATAAATCTTCGGTGACACTAATTTTGGATATGTGGTAATAAACAAACATATGAATATGCATGTTGGGAAATTCAAACCATAAAAGACTTAGGTCACTGATCACCTAAGCCCCAATTTTGTTATCATGTGTAAGTCATCTGGAGTGGCCCTTAAGTATATAATCAACTTTACATGATCCTAATATTGTCAAGTGGAATAAAAGCTCTCTTCACACCTTACTTTATGTAGGACTAAAGCTCCCATGCGGGCTAAGAAAAAAAAGGTGTAAGAGATATGGCCCATCGGCTAACCTACAGACATGCATACTTTGAGATTCCAACCACTCAAAGTCCAGCTTTGCTATCTTGTTAGATACATCCAACTCAAAATCAATTGGCAATAGATGGAGTGACCACTCAATAATAGAAGTCCGCCTTGAGTGGTCCTAATATTTCTATGTGGGAAACAAGCTCTCTTCACTTGAGCAACCCTACGGGCTATAATTGTTAACTGTTATGATTGTTCAAAATGAAAAGTAATTGCCTATAATTTAATCTGGAATGTGTAACAAATAATTACAGCATAGAAGCTGTGCTCCATCGCGTCACGCTGTGATTCCACTTGGGGTGGTTTTTCCATATTTATTTTCAGGGAAAATGGAATGTGAATGTATCTTTATTTTCTTCAATGTGACAGTGATGTTTGTTCCCACCTTGTCATGGTAATACATTTTGGCATTCTACATTCACAGAGTATTATAATACTCCATAAAATTTCTTATGCTACCCTCTTTGACATTTTTCAGTCATTGTGGTTCTTGTGAATTTGGTAGTAAAGTGCCTTTGTAAGGAAGAATTCTATCTTGTGACCTGATGGGAAGTTAAAACTATGACCCTCTAGTTTTAATACACAGTGATTATAAATGCGAGTAATATATATTCGTTCTCAGATGTACTTCATTTTCCCATCTGCCTGATTCTGCCAGAATCTATTTTTAGATTGATTATTATATATTTTCCTATTGTGCAGGCATTTGTTCTCAAATACCTTATATTCTTTCCTGAGGAATCAAGTAAAGCTGAACAAAACACACCAATGGGTTCAGGAAGACTGTCTGAAAGTGAATTTGTTGCTTTGGATGTTTTGGCTTCTATTTCTGACGACAGAAAATTAAGGTGATTGATCTTTTAATGTAATTTGTAGATTTACTTTTCGATATCATTTTAATTTATTCAAAAAAATAATAAAACAAAAAAAATATTAATAATACATTATTTCATGAACCCATTCAAGTGGCATGTCAGTAAAGAAGGAATGAATCCTTGTTTAACAAGGGGCCTTTCAGTAAACAAGGAAGGTAATCATTATTTCGAGTTTTCATTGAAACACTAGTACTCAAGATAGATCATATCAACGGTATACTAAGCCAGCTCGAGCTCTCAGATTTTTCTTGTATAATTTTAGAAATTTTAAGTAAGCATTTTGACCAAATAAAACTCCATTTCTTTTTTTTTTCCCCATGCTACTTACACATGATACTTGGGAGGGTTAGATGAAATACTATTTTAACAGGTCACATTCTCATACAAAGTGGCTGCTGCCAAGCTTGAACACGCATTCTGATCCTTGACGGACCAAAACTTTTACCATTGCACTAAGCAATGAGATAATCACCCTGATTTTCACTCTCCTACTTTTTTTTCCCAGTGATGTTTTTGCAATCGCGTAACATGCACCATCCATAGTTGTCAGCATCTTACGATTCGTCTCGATATAGTATCCGAATGATACTTATCTTACGAGTTATATCGTTTTTCACCGTATCTTATGATTCGCAATGCACACCTTACGATATACTTCGATACAATGAAAAAATTTATGCAATATTAAAATGACATTGTTTCACTAGATTTTTTTTTATCTTAAATCGTGAAACAACATTATTTTCCTATGTGTTATTTTTTCTTTTTTGGTTTGATCCAGAACCAAAAAAAGCTCTCGATTATCTTATTCTTGTGAGATGCTTTTTTTTCTCCTGCAGCTTTTTTTCTTCTTCTCATTCAAACAAACAAAACCCTAACTATATTTTGATCTTTGTTGTGAAGCAAACAATTCTCTCTTTTGATCTCTATTGGACACATGCATCGCACGACATAACGAGTGAATTGAAATGATATTTATATTACTTCAGACACTACATACTCAGATTCCAAATGGACAAATTCAGCGTTTACATTTTTTAGGTATATGTTTGTGTATAATATATATAAAAATTTAAATTGAGTTTTTATTACGATACACGATACGTTATGATACACAATATATTATTTTTAAAAAACGATTCGTGTTCTCTGATACACTTTTTGACAACCTTGGCACCATCCATCTTTTTCTTCTTTATATTTTAGGCTGGAAATGCGATGGTGAACAAATCCATACTAAATATTGAATTTCTAATGCTTGTTTGTTTTGTCTGTGATGGTTCTTCTTTTGCCTTGCATGCACCCTTTATGTTTAAGGTTGGGTGAACAAAAAGGTAATATGTATTCAAACAAGCTTTGTGTCTAACGTAAAGTGTCATGCCACCTGACTTATGAGCCAAGTTTCACTACATGGAATCAGCTTGTTTGGGGTCAAGCATATGCAGATGCTGACTGTTGCAACTGTAATATGTATCCAAACAAGCTTTGTACCTATGTGAAGTGTCATGCCACCAGATGCATGAGCCAAATTTCACTACATGGCATCAACTTGTTTGACTTCAAGCATAAGCAAATGCTGATTTAGCACCAATCACCATTTTGACAACCTCAACACTGGGCCCCTTTTCTTAAAGTGTCAGACTACCCTGCTGTGATTGGTGCTAATTCATTTGCTGTATTTGGTTTGACAGTATACAACTGAACCCTTCAACCCCTGTGCTTTCTTTAAATGCATCCCATGTAAACTTATGGTTTAAAACATGGCTAAATGCCCTGTTTGTTTCTATCCATTAGATTCCTTTCTAGTTGTCATTTGCAATTATGGATATCCTTTGTATTGATCAATTGTTTTTCTTTTCACTCTTAGACGAATCCTTTCTTGAGATCTTTGTCAACTTTCTTACAGATCCTTGGTCAAAAGTATGGGTGAAATATTGTTTCTGTGTGGGAGTAATAAAAGGGCTGTGATTGCATCTCTTAGCATTTTTGACAGTTACATTGAGGGGTCTGAAGACTGTTCAAAAGAAGAGGTTAGTTGCATAAAGGTCTATGCTGATACAATTGTGTTAAGATTGGGAACCGGATTGAAATGCGAACTTCATGATTGTCATTTCGATATATTTGCTATTCAGGGTATGAAATTTTTTCTAATAATGAGTTTATGCATTGACAGATCATCTTAAAAGCACTCGAAGGTCTCTCAATTGAATCAGGTTCTGATTTGCAAAAAAATTTGAGAGTTAACACATACACCTCACAGGTGAGTGCCTTTCATAGGCTCGAAGCAGTGATTCCTGTTTTCCAAAGCCGTATGGGGGCAATGCTCTTTCTCATTTCTGCTTTGCTTTCTCGTGGACTGGTATGTTGGTTCCACTTTTACCTTTTTGCTACTTTCCTTTTTTGTTTCTTTTTTCTTCATGACCTGTGCACTCATTTATTATCTGAATTCTAGAGATTGTGTACTTCCAACTGAACCTTGTTATGAATTGACACCCTATTACTTTGTAGACATTCTTCCTAAAGATTGTCAGGATACTAATCACCTTAGAATGATTCGTGGATGAATAATGTTTGTGTTAGAGTTCTTCTTTTATATTAGTAGTGTAGGATAATAATGTAATTGTTCGTAATATCGGTTTATTATAAATAAGAGTGTAGGGCAACATTGCCTACACAACTGATGATCCCTCTCATTCTCTTTCTCCTTTCTTTTTTCTCTCATAAACACTAATATCAATTTTATCATTTAACTTGATAACAGAGTAGGTTTTTTTATAGCAAATAATTGCAGAAAAACACAGTAAAAACAATCAGAAGGAAATTTGTGCGTTGACACCATTGCCAGAAAATGATGTCAGTGATTCTTCAATGACTTTTCCGGTGAATGCAACCCTAATCTGATAATTTTTGTATAATTTTTGAGGCTATCTAAAGAGGGTTTCCTATTTTTGAATGATTTTCAGCAGCATATGGTCAATTTATCAGATTTGGTGTTTTTGGGCAACTTGGTGTATTTTTTTGCTTGGATCCCTTACTTGAGAAGGCCTACTAGAACTCAAGAGAATTTTTGTGAGAAGCCCAACTCTCATTGGTGAGTTTTGAGCCTTTTTTTGTGTGTTTTGGGTTGTCGGCTACTGTTCTAGTCACCGGAACAGTGCACGAAGCAGCTTGTTGGGTTATTTCTGGCCTCTCTAATCTTCTAGTATGTAGTTTCTATCGAAGTTTTGAGTTGCCCAACCCGGTTTAGCGTTTGGGGGAAACTCATGCTAAAAACACTGTTCATGCCTGAACAGTGTTCGATCTGCCCCTAAGTTATGAACTTTGGTTGTTTCTTAGCCCCTGTGGTGTTTTTTGAGTCCTGGTGGTGTGATTTGGTGCTGCTTCTCTGTGGGTTATACTGGTGTGATAGCTTGTGACTGTTGATGATGTGTTTTGGTGACTCCAAACCTTCAACTCTACTGTTTGGAGGCTGAACAGTGTGGATTGTTCTAGCTTGTGGTTAGAATTATTATTATTATTAATTTTTTTTTTGCGTATGTGTGTTATTTTTTTTTGCGGAATGCTCCTGGGTTTGTCTTCTTTGGGTGGTTTGTGGCTTTGATCTTATGGTGATTTGAGATCTCGAACAGTTTCTTTGGCTCCATTCTTAGTGGTTTGTGTGATTGAGGATTGTTTGTAGTGTATTGGTTTCTATTGTTGCATAGTTGACCATTGGTTTCGTGATGACAAACTTAAATGGTGGTTATGGTGGTGATTATGGTGGTGGATTTGGTCCACCCTATTTTGTTGGTCTTAGTGGTCGAAGTACTGGCCATGGTAGACGTGGTGGTTGTTCTGGTCATGGTTATCATTGTGTTTGGAAGTGTACTTATTGTGGTAGCACAGGACATACTGGTTATTATTGTTGGGATAAATGTAGGAGACCAACACATGCTAATCAAGCTTTTGGTGATACTTTGGGTTCAATGTATATCAGGTTTCTACTAATGGCCCCATGGCACCTGGTTCTAGCTTTCATGACAATCTTTCTTATTAGCTTTTTCAGTTCCTTCACAAGTTGTCTTCGTTTTCTTCACATTTGTCTACTTCTATTGCTAGTTTTACTAATTGAAGTAACTCAACATGTGTGGTTGCTAAACCTTCTCATACTCTTAGATCATTGATTCAGAAGGGAGTGTTCATATGTCTGGTATGTCGGCCCTGTTCTATAATTTAAATTCATTTTACTCATGTATTGAATTAGCTAATGGCTCCTCTCGACCAGTATATGAGACTGGTGATCTTTGTCCTACGCATACTATGTCATTGACCTCTAGTTTGTTTGTTCTTAGTTTTCACTTTAATTTATTGTCAGTGAGTTGGCTAACTAAGTCATTACCATGTTCTGTAATCTTTAATCCATATTTTTATACTTTTCAGGACCTTAAGACGAAGAATGCGATAACAATGGCCTGTACTAGTTAGATTCTGGTGGTTTTGTCCCTGCATTGAGTGCTACCGTGTCTCCACTTCAATGGCCCTTCCGACTAGGTCATTCTATCATGCACAAGTTGCATGAAGTTATTCTTCATTTGTGTTCTTCTTTTGCGTTAGAATGTGAGGCTTGTCAAGCATCACCATAGTTATTTTCTTTCTAACTCTTCAAGTCATCAATCTAGTCATTTTCATGTTGTTCATACAGATATTTTGGGGCCAACAAAAGTCGAATGTAATTCTAATTTTCAGTATTTTGTGATCTTTGTGGATGATTTCTCTCGTATGACTTAATTATTCCTTATAAAAAACCGATCTGAGTTACCCAAGGTCTTTATCACCTTTTATAATAAAATTCTGACTTAGTTTGATGTTCGTATGACAGTACTAGTTTGATGTTCGTATGGCAGTACTTCGGTCTGACAATGCCCTTGAGTATACTCTGTCATTTATAAAAACCTTTTGTGCTAACTGTGGCATTATCCATCAAACCACCTATCCTCATACCTTCCAACAAAATGGTGTTGCCGAACATAAGCATTGTCATTTGTTGGATATTACCTGCACCTTGATGTTTAACATGCACGTGCCAAAACCATATTGGGCTGATGTTGTTTTTACTTCAGTTTATCTTATTAGTCGCATGCCTTCCCTTATTTTGAACGACCAATCTCCTTTCTCGTTGCTCTATCCTGACAAACTATCATTTAGTCTCACTCCTAGTGTCTTTGGTTGTGTTGCATTTGTTTATCTCCTTGGTTTGGGTAGGGATAAACTTTTGTCTCGCTTGGTTAAGTGTGTATTTTTGGGATATTCTCATACTTAGAAAGGTTATCGCTGTAGTTAAAATTATTTGGTACGCTCATGAAATATCGGATTACTTGCAATGAAAATAGCTGCTTAGTTGTCACAATGCATATTTATAGGGCTTCCGACACATCAAGTCCCATATCACGAAGTAATGAACGAACCCATAACATCTCACACGCAGTGTGAGCCATAGCTCGATATTCAGCCTCCACACTAGAATGGGCAACCACATTCTGCTTCTTATTACGCCAAGTAACAGGATTCCCTCCAACAAATGTACAATAACCAAAGATAGATCGTCTATCACTATGACTACCTTTCTAGTTAGGATCAGAAAAACCAACAACTGTTATAGATGATAGGCAATAAAATAATCCTTTTCCGGGAGCTCTTTTCAGGTATTGGAGGATACGACATACGATCTCCCAATGAGGCTTACGAGGAACATGCATATACTGACTGACTACATCAATAACATATGTGATATCAGGGCATGTAACTGTGAGATAAATTAGTTTGCCAACCAGCCTTCGATAGTGCCTTATATCATCAAACACTTCACCACTCTCATGATCTAATTTAACTATAGGATTCATATGTGTATCAATCGAACGTGCACCAAAAGTGCGAGTTTTAGAGAGTAAGTTTAGTACATACTTCTGTTGACACCAACTAATACCCTCCTTTGACGAAACAACCTCAATCCCTAGTAATTATCAAAGGAGGTCCAAATCTTTGGTGAGAAATTACTTCCCCAAATAGACCTTGAAGTGGGCAATACTATTGGAGTCATTATCACTAATGATGATTTCGTCGACATACACAATAACAATAATAATGCTTGCAGAAGACTGATGAATGAAGACTGAATGATCTGAAGTAGACTGGCAAACTGAAGTACAGTAGTACTAAACTTATCAAACTATACATGTGGTGACTGTTTCAAGTCATAAAATATTTTCTTCAACAGACACACTAGTTGTTTTTTGCCAGAAACAACATAACTTGGAGGCTGACTCATATATACTTCCTCCCACAGATCTCCATATAGAAAAACATTCTTTATGTCTAGTTGATACAAGGCCAAATCACAGCAAATTGCAATAGAAATAAGAACTCTAACAGAGTTAAGTCAAGCAATAGGAGAGAAAGTCTCACTATAATCCACACCATATGTCTGGGTGTAGCCCTTAATAATCAACCGTGCCTTCAAACACTCAACAAACCCATCAGAATGATATTTCACAATGTAAATCTTGTGAGAATTGACAGGTTGCTTACCAAAAGGAATAAAAAATGAGGACCCAAGTATGATTGTCATGGAGTGTCTTAATTTCCTCATCCATAGCAAGTTTTTGGCTAAGAGATGTTAGTGCCTATTGCAAAGAACTAGGGACAACTACAAGATAAGGCCTATGCAAAGAGACAAACTTAGAAATAGGGTGTTGAGTACAAGTACAAGGACCTTTCTACAATGCAATAGGCAAATCAAAAGAGAGTGATGTAGTAGACAACTTAGGAGAAAGGACCTTAGTAAAATCAAACATTGGCTGGGGAGTTGGAGCATATGAAACAACCAGTTTATCCAAGGAACGACGATAAACCTGCAATGGAGGGTCAGGAAACTGAGATGAAGAAGATAGACCATTTGGTACAAGAGGTAATAGGAGTTTCCCATGAGTAGTAGATATCAAATCTGGGGAAAGAGTATTGCCTAAATTAGGAAAAAAAAAAGCTGACTCAAAAATTGTAACATCGATACTGACATAATATCGATGAGAGACCGTTCATTTCTTTTGCTTCTGTGTCTTCTTCTTTGACAGCCAATATGTTCTTTTGCTTATGATTTTATTGCTTCTATAGTTTTAGTGTTGATTCTATACTGTTTATTCTGATTCTACTTCTAATTTTCTGTTGAATTTATTTCTATTGTTTTTGGTTATGCTTCTACTTCTGCTTCTAATTTTATGTTGATTCTGTTTCTGCTGTTTCTGATTCTGTTTATGCTGTTATTTCTACTGTTTTTTGCTTTTATTTTTGTTTATTTTGTTTGTATTTTTGTTCTACTGCTTCTGTTTCTGCTAATGCTTTGATTTTTTCATTTTTCTTCTCTGCTTCTCTGATAGTAATGTGACTGTGATAGTTAGTTGATTAATATGATTGAGATATTATTAGTGTTTGTTTGAATTTAAATATTTGAACTATGGTGGTTGTGAAGATTTGAGATATTATTAGTGTTTGTTTGAATTTAAATTTTTAAATGAGAAAGAAGATAGTGCACTGGAATTGTGTTATTTAAGTGCTTATTGCTTGCCAAAAATCCTACTTCTACAATTGGTATGTCACCGGGTTATTCAAATAAGTTGTGTTTTTTGTGGTTTTCCCATGTTACAACTTATGTACCAATTCGATCAATCCAGAATGGATCGGTTAAACATTTCATTAGGGAGCTTGGTCTTGACTCTTCTGTGTGGTATTCACTCTTGTTCGGCTCTTGGAATCACATCTAGCAGTGGTTGGAGCACTTCCCACAAAATCAAACCACTTCACCTACTTCATTGCCCCCAACCGTTTCTCATACCTCTATTGAAACAGAATGTTTCATGTTCTTTCATCAATTGGTTATTCCTTTCCGGTAGTTTCTCTTTCTCCAATTTCGGTCTCCATTAGTTCACAAGATTGAATGGTCAATTCTTTTCGGGACTCTCGATTCGATTGTTTTCCAAGAATGCTGAGTCGGGTATGTAAGTCATGTATCTGAGAGGAACTTAAAAGAAGGGCTTTCGGTTCTTTGCACCCTATTTTGGTCTTGCGTGCATTTAAATATTTAGTATTTGTAAAATAAGAACTTGCATATTTAGAAGTAATTAAACTAAAATATTTATTTTTTTTTTACTGTTCGCTTCGTTTCGATGAAGCGTTTTGTTTTGCCTCTCGCTTCTCGCCTAGTGTCAAGAGTCTTGGTCGTTTTGGTTTCTTTATGCCTTAAATAACATTGGTCGCACCTACTTGGTGCAAATCAAACCAAAAAACACCCTCAAACTAGCCAATATCAGCAGATCTACCAATTTAGCCAAATATTTCAACAATCATTCAAATATAGCAACCCTAATCAGATAATTTCAAAAAAATAAACAAAAATTATCATAATTATCAATTGAGCATGTGGGTGAGTTTTGGAGTCCGTATGTTGATGACATCAGCATGATGTCATCTTAGTCAGCAGCGTCGAGAATAGGAAAAAAAAGGGCAACCTTTTACTATGTCCTTTGGTAATATTTTAGTTGTCGGATTAGTGCTCTGATACCAACTTAAAATAATAGAAGCGGTATTAGGGTTTATGAGAAAAAGACAAGGTAAAAAGGAAGAAAAAAAAGAAGTAGAATAATCTACTATGTGTTGGCTCATTTTCCCTACACGTTCTTATTTATAACTAAGTAATGTTTAGGGAAATTACAATATTACCCTACATTAGTTAACTTATGATTTAATGTAGAAAATAAGAACTCTAACAGCTGTTATGACCCTGTTTCTCATCAATATTATATTAGTACTAATGTCACCTTTTTTAGTCATCTTCGTTATTTCTGTGTCAAGCAACACACTTTTCTCAAATTTAGTCTTTCCCAGTCAGGGGAGTCATTGTTGCTTATTGTGTTAGATTGTGTTTCTTCTTCCTTCCCGAGTCTTGCTCTTCCATTGCAGATTTATCATCATTCCAAGGATAGACAGGTTATTCAAAATGCTTCAGCTCCATAATTATCACCTGATTCTGTTGAAGTCTTGCCTCCTGAGCTGTCACATAGTTCATCATCTTTTGATTTGCCTATTTTATTGAGGAAAGGTACCTGTAATTGTACAAAGCATCTAATTTCTAATTTTATTTCTTTGCATCGGTTTTCACCATCCTTTCGTTGTTTTACATCGACTCTATCTTTGGTATTTTTTTTAGTTATTTGAAACAGGTATTGGCATCTCTTGGTTGAAAATTGGCTATGGATGAGAAAATGAAAGCCCTTAATGAGAATCAGATATGGGACCTTACTTCTTTTCTCTTTGGTAAACAGCCAGACAGTAGTTGTTGGGTCTACACAGTGAAGTATCATCCTGATGGTTTAGTTGAGCGTCTGAGGGCCTGTTTGGTTGTCAAAGGCTACACGTAGACTTATGGTGTGGATTATTATATGACTTTCTCTCTTATGCTCATCTTAACTCTGTTAGAGTTCTTATTTCGGTTGTCACGACTTGTGATTGGTTTCTGTATCAACTGGGCATTAAAAATGTTTTTTTACATGGAGATCTACAACCGGACGTGTATATAGTACAACCTATAGGTTATGTTGTGTCTAATAAGGAATAGTTTGTGTATTGTCTGAAAAAAGCATTATATGGTCTAAAACAATCACTGCGTGTTGAATTAAGTTCTACTGTTGTTTTTCAGTATGGTTTTCGGAGTTTTATTTCAGACCATTCAATTTTTATTTGTTGTTCTGCCATAGGTGTTATTATTCTTATTGTGTATGTTGATGACATTATCATTAGTGGTGATGATTTAAATAGTATTGTCCACTTTAAGATTCATTTGGAAAACAGTTTCATACTAAAGATCTAGGCCTTCTTTGGTGTTTTTTGGGATTGAAGTTGCTCGATCAAAGAATAGTATCAGTTTGTGCTAACAAAAGTATATATTTGATTTATTATCTGAAACTAGTACTCTTAGTGAATGTCCAACTGACACTCCCATGGACTCCATGGTTTTTTGGATGCTGATAGTGGTGGTAAAGTGTTTGATGATGTAGGGTATTATTGAAGGTTAGTTGGTAAGTTAATTTACCTTACAGTTACATGTCATAATATTACCTATGTTGTTAGTGTGGTTAATCATTTCATGTATGCTCCTCGTGAGTCTCATTGGGAGGTTGTTTGTCGTATTATTCGGTATCTGAAAGATGCACCGGGTAAAGAATTATTATATTGCCCTTCATCCTCCATAATTGTTACTGGATTTTTTAATGCTGATTGGACTGGTAGTCGTACTGATAGACGATTTACTTCAGGTTATTATACATTTATTGGTGGTAATTTTATTACTTGGCGTAGCAAGAAACAAAATGTGGTTGCTTGTTCGAGTGCAGAGGCTAAATATTGAGTCATGGCTCATACTGCGTGTGAGATGTTGTGGGTTCGTTCACTACTTTGTGATATAGGTATTAGTGTGCCCTTTCCCTTTCCCGTAGAAATGCATTGTGACAACTAAGCAACTATTTTCATACCTTGTAATCCGGTATTCCATGAAAGGACTAAACACATTGAAGTGAATTTTCATTTTATTCGAGATCTCTTGATGTGTATGGAGATTATCACATCATTCATCAAGTCTAGTGGTTAGTTGGGTGACATCCTTACCAAACCATTGGCTCAATCTATCTTCAGCAATCTTTGTTCTATGCTGGACATTTTTTATTTGTATGCTCCAGGTTCAGGGGGAATGTTGGAGTTCTTATTTTGGATTCTTATTAGTGTAGGGTAATAATGTAATTGCTCATAATGTCAATTTATTACAAATAAGATAGTTTAGGGCAATATTGCCTACACAACTGATTATTTCTCATCTCTTTCTCTCTCTCTTCCTTCCTTCTTTTTTTCCTCATAAACCCTAATATCAATTTTATCATTCAACTATTTGGGTAACTGGATTGGAGTGTGAATATATGGCTTTGAAGCGATATATAAGAAACCAATTGTAGTGATGAAAAAGGGTGAATAGAGGATAAAGAGGTAGATAAGATCTTTTGACATGATGTAAGAAAACAATTAAATGGAAATGATTTACAAAAGGATTTGACTAACATGCAAGCGCAAGTACTCGTGATCCCTTTTCATTCTACTTGAGACATATGATCACTATGCCATGGCTTATCAGTGTTCTTTTTGCTTGAATTAAAAATGTGCCAAAAAATGAACCTCTGGTTATTTGATAGACTTGTGACTTTCATGGCTGAATATATTGTACCATGTATACATGACTCTAGTGGGTGGTTTCAGCATTATCGGAGCATTTTAAGACTGTTATCTGACAAAGGTATGGACCGGGGGATATTAAGGGGATAACGAGAGAAGAATCACTGGCGGACACGTGATTATTGGTTTTTTTTTTTTTTGGACTGTTATTATTTAACTGAGGAGTGGATAGAAAATGATCTTTTATCATGCCACTTTTCAGTTATCTTGCAAGGTGGATGACCTTTATGGTTGCTGTCGCATAATTGGAATCACCTGGAGTTCGGCAATTTCAGAGATTTGGAGTTTATCGAATTTAGCACTTGAAAATTTTTACACGAGTATTATTTTGTTTTCGCTTTGTTGGTGATAAAAGGAGTTAAGAGAGATGAACACTGCAAAATTTTTACATGAAAGTGACCTATTTTGTTTTTTATTTGTTTGTTAGAAAAATGGGAATTGATTTTGTTTTTTATTTTCAAGACAGTGTCTTTAATGTTCATGCTCTAAAATGGAGAAAATTGAGGTACCAGTCAATTGTTCTTGTAGCCTATGAATGTTTCACTGTCTGATGACGAGTCAGATAAGTTGGTCCTGTCAATTGCTCCTGCTGAGATCTCATGGTGCAGAAAAATAGAGAAATACAGATACAATATACCATAAAACTAGAGTTAAAATGCAACATTCCCAGAGGAAGAAGAAATAGTCCCTAGTACATAATAGATCCTTTAATAACCCTGCAAAACAAAAGCCCTAAACATGTCAAAGTTCATTGACATAACACTACTATCCTACTGGTAAGTTGATCAAAATACTTGAAAGCACACAAAAAAGATTATAGTTGAAATTTCATCCAGGGTCCTGCTGTGATCAAACCAATTTTCCTGATTTCAGTCTCCTGTAAGTTTAAAGTCATGGTTGCAAAATTCTTTGAAGCTCTTGTGAGGGTCGTTAATTCATATTCCATCCACTCTGCATTGATCCTGGTGATTCCAAACTATAAAATGGGATGCTCATATGTAAACATGTAATTTAACAGTGAGAAAACAATTATTATTCTGTGCTGAAACAATCTCAAGTGGCTTGCAAAGGAAAAATAGGAACTCAAATGTGCTTGACATTTGTCAAACAATGGTACTTCTTTCTAGAATTGCAATACTAGCCTTCATCTCTACACACATTACATTCATCTGCATCTCTGTTTCTTACTTAACCTTTATGTAGCAGGGTAACTAGGCAGTAGGCAGGTAAAATGCACTTAAGAGCAGTTATGGTCACCTCCTTTCTGGGGTTTTTTACTAATGCTTGTAATTTGCTCTAAATTTGTCAGGACTCTGTTCAAGATGACAGGGATGACCCCAGTCAACCATTAGTCACTGCTCCATTTGGGCATGCTTCACAGGTATTCACAGATTAAGTTAAACACCAGTTTCTTCATTTGATATTTTGGTTGTTTGATTGTGTTATATGATCTCCATGAACACTTGTATGATTTTCTTGGGTAACTATACGACATTATGTCCTACCTTGGCTGTCATGTAACAGGAAATTGTAAACCTACTGCTTTGTGGGCAGGCTGTGGCTAATGTGTTTGATGGTAAGATGGACTTGGGTGGTGGCATGTTTGTGAAGGGCATTTCGTTGACTGTAGAAGTTGGATTCCTCACTCTATTAGAGTCCCTCAACTTCTGCAAGGTTGGCCAGTATCTGAAATGCCCCAAGTGGCCAATATGGGTTGTTGGAAGTGAGTCTCATTATACAGTCCTGTTTGCTCTTGATAGCAAAGTTCAAGAGGAGAATGAACTTGAAGGGAGAGAAACGCAAGTCCGGAGAGCTTTTGATGCACAAGATCAAAGCGGAGGTGGTGGATTCATTAGTGTGGAAGGCTTTAATCAAGTGGTCAAGGAAACAAATATTAACCTTCCAGCAGAGAAGCTTGACCACCTTTGCAGTGCAGGCTTTATCGTGTGGAGTGAGTTCTGGCAGGTGCTTTTGGATTTAGACAAGAGTTTAGGAGGCTTAAAAGATTCAACTGGATTAATGGGAAAAAAGATATTTGATCTTTACCACTTTAATGGAATTGCAAAGTCAGTTTCAAATGGCAGTCAGGCATCTCCTGGAAGTGAGATTCCAATACAAAGACCAAGACTTACAAAACTGAGGGTTTCAGTTCCCCCAAGGTGGACTCCTGAGGAATTCATGACAGCAGGGCCCTCTGGTCCAGGTGGAAATGACTCTACCGTGAAAGATACTGTTGTTGAAGTGTCTAAACCGGAGCCTGCTCAGCATGCACCTTTGGTTGACTGTATTAGAACGCGGTGGTCCCGTGCTGTTTGCAACTGGGAAGGAGACGCACCAAGTATAGTCTGATTGTTTCCTAATCTTATTTGGTTTCCGCTGATGTGCCTTAGTGTTTGAAATACGGAGACAACAAAATCCAGAGCAAGTGAAGATGAAGTGGGGGGAAGATGACCTAGTTCAATTGAGGTTAGAGCGTTTTGGACAAAAAAGAGAATGTTTTTAACTGAACTTCCAGTATGCAGTACACCCAACACCATTTTCAAACGTGTAATATTGTAACTGTCTCATTATAATTTGATTAAAGTTATCGTTTCCGAGGTGAAGATGTAGGGGACTGGTAATTGTTGTCCTTGCAATTCATTTTACTATCAGATGCAGTTAATTAGGTTGCTTTTTTTCCAGTCATGTCAAGATCAATAAACTTCAACCTGGTCTTGTGGGTTAATTGCACTGGTATTGTTGAAATTGCTGTGTAACAATGAGCTGTCATTTTTATAACTTCCAATATATTTGCAGGTTAATTGCACTGTATGTCTCAAAAGTATGGGATTTGTTTTATTTTAGTCTGTAATATTTCAATTATATTATTTTAATTTTTAAAATATTGAATATATTTTTATGTAATCTATATAATAAAGTACAATACAATTTAAAATATTAAAAATCAAAATAAAACAAATTTCATACTTTAAAAACCTCCAATACAATTAACCCAATTTTTAGTTACTAATAATACATGACATGCATTACACATAAACATTTTTATTGAAACATTTAATAAAATATATAAAAAAATATAATTATATAATTACATTAAATATTATTTCATATTTATTATAATTAAATTATTTATATTTTTTTTATAACTATAAACATTTAATAAACTAATTTTATGTTATTCTTTCATTCAAACTATCAATAATAAGATTTATAGATTTTTGTTCTCATTTTTACTTTGTACATCAATAATTTTTTACCATATTATTTTAATTGTAAATGAAGAGATAAAAAAATACATTAATTTCTTAGCATTGAAAATAATATTATCTTGTGAGAAAAAAAAAATAATATTGCTTTTATATATTATGTTAAGCATAACATAACCATTCAAAAATTTTGTAAAAATAAAGAAATTTACATAATATGTTAGAATAATAATTTACACATTTAAATACAAAAAAGCATATTAACTTTTATAATTTTTTATAAAATTAAAATAATAAATTAAATTTTTTTCTTGCTAAGATAATTTTATTAATAATATAAATTAAACAAAATAGAATTCTGCAGCTCTTAAAACATTATTTTCTGCGGCCATTTTTGGTTCAACACAGAAGCTGAGAAGCTTTCATTTCATTCCTACATTTTTCTTGCATGAATAGATCACTCCAACCCAACAATATGACCTGAAATCTATGGGAAAAGTACTGAAAAGAGACCATAAAACTTTCTACAGAGGGAAAACCCAGAAACACTACGAGAACACAAAACCAAATCTCAAGCCCTCTCACCCCTAATCCTCCTAGCCAGCTGAATATCTTTCGGCATAATCGTAACCCTCTTCGCATGAATCGCACATAGATTCGTATCCTCAAACAGACCAACTAAATATGCTTCAGCCGCCTCTTGCAAAGCCGCCACGGCAGAGCTCTGAAACCTCAGATCCGTCTTGAAATCTTGTGCAATTTCACGCACAAGCCTCTGGAAGGGAAGTTTTCGAATCAAGAGCTCGGTGCTCTTCTGGTACTTTCTGATTTCACGGAGAGCCACCGTTCCTGGACGGAAGCGGTGGGGCTTTTTAACTCCGCCGGTGGCTGGTGCCGACTTACGGGCGGCCTTGGTGGCCAGTTGCTTTCTGGGTGCTTTGCCGCCGGTCGATTTTCGGGCTGTTTGCTTGGTTCTGGCCATTTTTAGAGAGAGAAAGGTTTGGTAGTGGAGGGGGAGGTGGACATGAGGGGTATATATATAGGTTTGAGGGAGAGAGGGTGGTGGTGAAATTTTGAAATATTTTGGAAGGAATGTTTGGCGCGGGTGAATCTGTGGCGTTAGATTTGGGACTGCGGACGTGGGCCGTGGAGATTCGTATTTACAAAGAGCACGCGGATCGCTATCCGCGTGTGTGTTCGAACATATTGTTTACTTTAAAATCGAGTTAGCAATTTCTTAAAAACAGCTTTGATCTGAAAACTGTTTGCTTTTCCTCTCTGTAAAACGGTTTTTTTGTTTTTGGATATAAAAATTCGAAGAAAAGTTGTTTAGATAATAGAGTTTTAATTTTAAGACAATTTAAAAAAAATAAAAACAAATGATTCAATGTACTGTTCACTTGGAGATATCGTTTAAAAGAGAAATTTTTTTCCTTCGTCCGTGTTTTTCTAAACTAACCCCGATTGATTCCTTCAAGTTCCGTCCGCCGAAGTTTGGGCCTTTCCAGTGGCACAAGCAGAGACAAATAAGTATTACCCTCCGGCGACTTCGCTCTCCCCAGAAATGGTGGAGTTTTGCCTGAACGTATGAATCTTTTAACCTTTTCTCAATCCTTTTAAACCCTTTCTCAATCTGTTGAACCTCTTCTCACTCCTTTTAACCTTTTTCTTCTTCGCTCCACACATAATGGAAAACCCAAACACAACCTTCTCATCTCACCAGAAAACACAAGAAAACAATCCCCAATAGTACAACTTCAACCTGATGAATCAACAGCAAAGTTCGTAAGGCAATCGTGCCTGGTTGGAAAGATCGTTTCAAGGAAAATCCTAAATAGGAATGTGGTCAAGAATATAGTGATGAAGGCTTGGAAAGCAGAGTACAAGATGGACATAAGGGATGGAGACATGGAAACATACATATTCATATCCTCCGATGAAGACCTGAAGCAGAAGGTGCTCCAACAGGAACCATGCTCTATCAAAGGGCAGTTACTTGTTTTAAGACAATGGAACCCAGAAATCTCCATAGCAGAAATCATATTTACTTCAACCTCTTTTTGGATTCAAGCACATGGGCTACCACCTGGAATGATAACGACAGAAAATGCAGAACTTATAGCACGAACTTTGGGGGAGCCGGTGGAGAATCAAGCGGGGATTGCACTGAGGCCGTTCTGGAGAGGATATCTTAGGACAAGGGTTGTTTTGGATACCGCTTGTTCCTTTTTTCTGGTTACCAAGAGAAGGAAGGCCGGCTAAATCCATGCACTTTAAAAAAAAAGGTGGTGGGTGGTGGGTGGTGGTCTTTCAGTCCATTTGACGTTTTTTAGTCCAATACTGTAACTTAGCTCACCTAATCAACCCATCATTAAAAACGTCATTTCCTCTTCTTTCTTTATCCGTCACATTTTCTTTTTCAAAATTATTTGCCCTACCTTCAATTAGGCGACCCAGCAACACCACCCATGACCTCCTTCAGGTGCACCTTTGGCGGCCACCACCTATCATCGTAGCATCCCTAGCATTGCAGCACCCCCAACATCGCAGCACCACCCACCATCGAAAGACCACCACCCATTATCCTACACCACCGCTGCACCCCCACTATCGCAACACCACCCACCACCTACCACCCTACACCATCGCTGCACCCCCACCTTCGCAGCACCACCCACCTTACACTATCGTTGCACCCCCACCATCACAGCACCACCCACCATCAAAACAGCACCACACTACACCACCCCTGCACCACCCAGCAGCACCCAGTATTGAAGCCCACCACCAGCATCGTAGGCTAAGGGCTATGTTGTTTGGGTTCAAAGCTTTTTGGGTTATTGATTTAGTTTATTTGTTTACCAAATCATTTTATTGATTTAGTTTATTTGTTGTTTGGGTTCAAAACTTCTTATGGATGATTTATAGTTTTTAAATTGGATGTTAGGGTTTGTTATTGTATGAAATGGGATGTTGATTGTATGAAATGGGTTGTTGATTGTATGAAAATGTATGTTAATTGTTGAAATAGGTTGTTAATTGTTGAAATGGATGCAAAATCTCTCTTTCAATTCTTAGAAAGCTATCGAGAATTTCGAGGGTTTTTACAAAACGTACAAATCTGCCATAAAAGCGAAAAAAAAACCAAACTACATCAATAAAATTGAGCCCAACATCAGTTTAATAGTTCTGCAGCTAATGTGTCTCAGTGTAATACGCATTAGGGGTTTCACAGTCATGAAAGTTTCGAGTTTTAGTGAACTGCAAACTTTCATTCAACTTAGCCAAATGGTATATGTTCATTGTTATTTCAATATAAATAGAAGAAACTGTCAAGTTTAAAAAAACTCTAATGACTAGTAGAATGCTGATCAAATAATTCATCTACAGGAACAAATTTAGGGATCAGAAAAATTGTCATTAAAATAATTTCATTTTAATAGTCAATAAGCTAAAAGCAATGGATTGAACTGATTTATGCATGAGTAGTCAATAAGCTAAAGTTGATATTTTAATTGCTTATAAACAAAGGATTGAACCGATTTATGTGCTACATTCCATCAAATACATCCATTAAACATGACAATGATCGATTATATCTATTGTTTTAATTTTTTTCTTAATCTCAATTCTTCTTTAGAAAATAAAATGATCCAAGTCTTTTTGTTCCCTACTTTTCATCTTTTACATTTTATGGGTTATTTTTAACTTGCAATTTATGAGGTTGCATGGGTGTGCATCCCAACAATTGTTTTGGGCAGGTACCATATTTTGATTATAACAATTGTTTTGGGCAAGCTATATTATTCACTTTCGTTTGATAAATATTCATTAATAAAATAATAGTTTTTGTTTTACTTTTTTCCATGAGCTTTAGTGATTGACTTGAATGGTTCCTCTCGCTTCTTGATGAATACCAATTTAGCTTGGGTTATTGTTTCTAAAGCATGCATTTGATTTCTCATACTTTTTAGAATGATTGAATGCTATGAAATGATACCTCAGAACTTTATACAAACCGTAGCCATGACTAAATGATGCTAATAGAAACACTAATGCCTCTATGAAGAATTGGGGGTCTGAATTATTATAGTTCTCATGTATTGTTCTCTATGAGATTCTAATTTTTTTGGTTTGTGATTCTATAACCAATAGTTTTGGCTAGGAAAAACTCAAAAAATAAGAGAAATTGAATTATTGCAGTACTCTTTAAGAATTAAGAAGCATATTGCCCACATTAGTATTTTTCGAAAAATTCAGAAATATATAAGTAATTCATGATTAACTATGAACATTAACATAAGACAATTTGGGTTTGATATATTTGATAAAAAAAAAAAGGGATTTGACTTATCCAAGAGTTACATTCCAACGTTAATCAACATTGACAGGAAATTTACACAATAACAAATAGAAAATCAAAAGAACTTTGGTAATTAGTCTCTCTCTACCTTTGAAATGTGGCTTTGGTAAACCAAGAAGCATCAATGGTGGGTGGTCGAAGAGTTATTGAGTACCCGCCTTATTGGCAAGATAATTGTCCTTAGAAAATGTTTGCAAAGCTCATCTGTAGGACTACCCAACCAATTCGAACTACTATAATTAGAGCAACTTCGGAGAGAGTTGTCATTTTGGGGTGTCAAATCACTTATTTGTAAAGTGCTTAGATGGTTTTCCATTTTTGTATTTGGGGGAGTTTAAATTTTGAAGAATCTGAATTTTTGGAATCTGAATTTTTAGCTATCTATTTGTGTTTGGGGGAGGTTATATTTTGAAGAATCTAAATTTTTGGCATCAACTAGTATGGTAGATGGTGATTGAGTTGGTTTTTCATTATGTTGGTTCCTATAATTATTTTCCCTTTTTAATATGATAGCCCATATTTAGGATCACAATAGTAACTCATATTGTATCGTCTACACTCCTAACATAATTGAAGTTCCAGTCTAAGACATGATAACTCTTTCCAAAAGGTTAATTGTGATTGAGCATCAAGTATAAACATTAGTAATTTTTAGAGAGAATTACACTCAAACATTATGTAGGTTCTCTTTTCCATGTCTGTCTCTCTCAATCTTAATCGAAGTTCAGTATTTATTTCTCTTAGGCATCAAACACCACATTTACTTCAAAATAAGCATGTTGATTTTGAATTACTCAAAGTAACTGCAGTATTGTCATCCTTGAGTTGGATAGTCCTGATAATTTTGATAAAGTTGTCAATGTTGTTCAATTACTGTCTTGTTAGCCAAAAAAATTGCCTACATTGTTTGGCTTCTTGATAACATGTTTCACTTCTGATTCAATACATGATAACATCTAAGGAGATACGCTCTTGTGAGGATTATTTATTCAAACTTCCATATAAAAGTTGTATCTTCATCTTTCTAAGTATCATACAAGTACATTTCATCCTTGTAGGTTTTCTAATTGATAGTTTCTATCTATTCTCAGGTTCTTCTGAATTAAAAACTTATTCTACATCCGAAACTAATTGAAATGGCGGGGAAACAAGTTACCGTTTTGCTATATTGGGGTGGACAAATGAGTTATGGCTCGGAGGGTTTATCATACAGTTGTCCTCCTAAAGGTGGTATTGTTATCAATAGTGGTACATAACTACCAGAGTTATTGAGTAAATTTTACACTGTAATGGAGTTGGACAGGACACATAACAAGTTAAAGTTGACATGTAGATATCTTTTTACAGTTGGAACAGGACCAGGACCAAACATAAATACACATGTCGGTCTGGAAATTGTCAACAATGAACTAGTGACCTCAATAGTTAATGTGGTACTTGACAACCCCAACATTACTAGTGCTGCTTTGTACGTTGAGACGGAGGACATCAATGCTGGTATAGACAATAGTCAGACCGGAGGGTGCATAACCACAACTGCCATGTCTTACACTGAGTTGTTTAGGCGATAGATGGATCCATTGCCATTTCCAACTTCTGCTGTGATGGGTGAATGTTCAACTTCCTTTGGGATGCAAGTAAT